AAATCACACCATCTTTATGAAGAGTCTCACAGTAGAGTGTCATTTATTAACTCTTTGTGGAAGGGCTAACATTAGTGAAGTAAAACTCAGAACTAAAATTCATCTTTAGAGCAATGGAATGGTCTTTGCTCAACATAATGAAGTCAGACCTTTACACAAATGTATAAATATTAATAGAAAAAGAAACAAAATATTTTGTAATATATTTTAATTTCCCAGAGGTCTTGATACATTTTTACATGTAATATCTCTATTATAGTGTTATTATTTTTGTTCTTCGTTATGCTGGTTTTATTTTTTATTTCTTTTGATTCATGTTGGTTTTCTGTTCTTATTTTTTTTCCTGTAATATAGGGGCCCTTCATACTGGCTTTATTTGGAAAAGGGTTACATAAAAGTGTTTTTGCGTGCCCTGGTTTTGTAACTTTTTCACAAGCGTGCTTTTAAGGCCAATAATTTCGTCTTACTTCTTCATTGATTGTAAAATATGCATAATTATTAAATGTTAGGAGCAATGTTGTAGCTGCAACTTGAGTAAACTTTGAATTTTTTTTTAGTCGTTCATTCTAATTAGTTTATAAAAATCTTTAACGAAACATTTTACTTCCATGCACAGCTTGGTTTTGAAAATTTGAAGTAGGCGCACCTTTTCCTTCCCTTCTTGATTATGGTTCACATATGTGTTTACTTATTTAAAACATTTTACAATACATCACATTACAGCTAAGAAAAAGTTTGCTGTTTTCTCTTCTTACACGTCTTTCATGTGTAAAATGAACTTTGTGTCATATACACTAGTGAGAAATGCCTTGTGTAATGTAGGCAAATCACAAACTGATGAACTGATCATTGTAGCAAACACATTTATTAAAATTAATTACATTTCTAGGTTCCATGGTTCCTTTCTCCATGCGGATTTTACATGCCGAACTTCCTCAGTACCTAGGTAATCCTCAGGAATCACTTGACAGACTGCATAGCATGAAGATAATCTGCACCAAGGTAATAGCTTCTCTATGCACTGACATTTCTTAATGTTTAAGAAATACATTTCATTGTCCTTATAAAAACCGTTACGTTTCAATGATGATGTATTTTATTTCATCTTGACACAATTAAGCAACTCACTAACAGAAGTAATTAGGTGCGTCTTCCATTTTAAGATACATTCCTCTCTCTGTGGTAGCTCTGACTAAAATGAATAGAAGAGTGGACGACGTAATTCTCTTGCTTTCGTGCTTTTGCCCGACAAGACACAGCAGAGAGTAAGCAGTTATGTTTAAGGGCAAGCAGGAGAGGTTTCTTCCCTCACTCAGCTCTGTCCAGCTACCTCAAAACAAAATTGTTAGTGATCTTGATCCTTCAAAGCTGGTTTTGGAAATGACAGTCATTTGGGAATATAAATACAACCTGCTGAGTCTGTTTTGGGGTTTTTGGTTTGTTTTGTCAAGTGCCATAATACAAAATATGGCCTAAATTATAACACGGGATTTGTCGGTGCTGGATTGATGGTGTTGTGAGCACCTTCGCTCTAAACCTTATCCACTAAACCGAATACCCTGACTATTAAGCATTCATCTTTAAGTGTTTTTTACAAAAATCTTTCCCAAGTAGTCTAATGCAACAGTGACTGTGAATGTTACAATGTAGTAGACTCCAGAAGAAATGCAGCATTGTTTTATCTGTAGCACTTGAAAGTTCAAAGCTGTATATAAGATAAATACACGTGATTTTTATTTTCAGTATTCCTTAGATGTTTCCTGTATTTGCTCCTTAAAATAACTTGGATAACACAAGAGAAGGGATTTGATAATTGCTAATTATATAGCTACAATGGCCTTATGTATATAAAATCAACTAGCTTGTAACACAGTAGTGACTAGGATAAGCAAATGTTTATGGTAAAAAACCCCGGTTCTTTGTATTATGAGGGGAAAACATGAAAAGTTTAGGTGATAAGAGATGAATGTGGAGTTTGTTACAGAGTTTGAAAAAACTGGTTTGGAAACAGTTGAGAGATAGATCTAATTTGGCAAAGAAGTGCTACTTTTTAGCATTTCATGAATGCTGTTACCTGTTCGTGAACATCTCATCTAATGGTATTACTGGCAGACTGATCTCTCCAGCTTTCTCCTTCATAAACAGTCCTCTTCATTCTGAAGTAATTGTTTTCTTCTAGGAAATGTCATACTCCTCTGTTACAGGATTTCACCATGCTTTTACTGACACTTACCTGCCCTGGTCTGCAGCAGATCTGCTGTTTCATATCTTGGTATTAAGTGCTACGTTGTCTCCCCTCAGTCACAAAGGTGCCACTAGATTCAAAATACTTAACTGGTTTCTAAGTCCTTTATCCTGTAACGGAGAGAAAAAATTGTATGAGTGTGGACGAGGAAGTGAGTGCTGAGCAGACGTTTCGTCAGCCGTCTGGTTAACTTTATTGAAATGGCCATCTCTCAGTTACCGTGTGGTCAGCTGTGATTCTCTGCAGATTAAAGATTGTTGGTCAATAGAGGAATGAAAGAAAAGGAAATTAACTGCCCCCCCTTCTTTACAAGACCTTTAAGTCATCTACAACCTTGAGGTGGCTCTGCCTGCGCTCTTTTCCTTGAAGTGCATATCCTTAGAGCATACCCAGTGTACTGAGGAAGCTTTTAAACCATAATACAAGATTTTGCTTGAACAGGAACTAGGCTGATTTGTTTACATGAGGGCAACTAGATGTGCCAGAGAAGATGAAATAGAAATAAAAGAGATTTACATATTAATATATACGTATTTCTGTGCCCGCTAAGTTCTTGAAGAACAGGTCTGTTTACTCATGTTCTCACTCCATCAACTGCTAGTAGCCTAGGTCACTATAAATTCTGTGTGATCCCTTATGCCCTTGAGGAAAGCTTCTTTGAGGCTGGCTGTACGTCTTCAACTAGCTCTTCTGAGGAGTCCCCTGTTCTTTGCGCTTGCTGTTGTTCATGGATTGCCATCTCTTTCTCTCTGCCTCCCTGTGTCTGAGTTTGCAAGTTTCTCCTGGATTAGTGTGTTCAATTGTGATCGGAAAGCGAATGATCTCCCTTTGCTTCTGACAGCTTCCACTAGAGCCGGGATACAGTAGCCAGGACAAATCATTGTCTGTGCTGATGCATGCTTCTTTTTAAAGTACAGTACACAGAAAACTACAAATGAACAAATAAAGTATACCATCCTTCTCAAAGGAATATTTCTGATCAGTTGTTCTAGACACCTCATTGCAGATTACTTCATTTGTTTGCATTCAATTAAATACCTTGTCTTGTGGAGCTATTCAAAGACAACTGTAGAAACAAGAGTGTGAAAAAGGACAGCTTGTAAAGATAAATATGTTTTTAAAAGACAGCTGTAAATTGGTGATAATGTAACCATTTGAAGTCGGGGTTGGCTGACAAAAAACATTGTTTAGATATATGTTTTGGTTTTTGTATAGAATGCTATTAGTCTCATGATCACCTGGAATGTTCAAGAATAAAGTTCATAATACTTACAAAAACTCATAGTATAACCAAGAAAATAACATAAAGGATGTACACTCATTAGTCTTAATATTTATATATGACACTTGGGAACCATTTGGCTTATAACAGAATTAATTGAGGCGCTTTCAACCAAGAGCCTCTAGTGTTTTACTTCCCTATTTTAAGAAGTGGGAAAATAATCTTTGGTCATCTGTATTTACAGAGGGGCATATGAATAGTCATTATGTAAATGAGATTATCTTGGAGTCATAAACGCTAGAAGAGAGAAAAGACCTATTAGTTCACCTAGTCTGTCTCTGCAACACAAGGTTGTTTTCTAGTTTTTAATGAGCCAGCCTATGGAGCTGAGGCCACATCCCCTGGGAGGCTATTCCAGGCTAATGCTAATGCATTCTTATCATAAGAAAATTTGTCTTTCTATTTTGTTTCTCTTCCTTAATGTAATTGTGGGGTTTTTTTTTCCTATCTGATACTTCCTTTTAACCTGCTAAATTCCCTCTTGTTTTTTGTTGTACGTGTTCTACAGACACTTGTCAACTTTGTGTTAGCCATGTGACTTCAAGATCTAACCATCTTTACTTTGTCACTATTTTAGTAACTTCGTCTCTTCAGCTCCCATCTACTTACGTATTTCTGGTACCTGAAGCAGAATTGGAGGTTGGGTGCAAAAACGTAATTTTCATTTTCCCTGTATGGGCAATAATGTTTTAACTTTTTCAGTGTTCCTGCCAGTTTTTAATCAAGATCTGGTTGGATATTTTACATCTCTGTCTATAGGTACAGCATTTGGCAAAGAACTAATCTGTAGTGCCAAATGCATATTGTAGCTTGAAGAGGCATCCAGTGAAATGGTTACTGTCTTGTTGTTACTGCTAGTCTTCCCAGCATGAATTGCCTCAATGAATTGTTGCCCTTATAAGTCAGCCTTGAAATAAATGATCTCCAAACAGCCAAGCAGGAAGAGTAACAATAGGCATTTAAGTCACAGAAGGGTTTGTTCTTTTCATGTTTTCATTTAAAAACATAGACATGATCACTTTAGTGCTAATAATGCTGAGGACGTGCTAATAAATGCTTACCTGGAGACCAAAATGTGAAAAGAACAGTCAGGCTTAATCTAAACTCCTGTGTTTGTGCCTAAGCTTCTGAGCTGATTGAGGGAGAACTCCTGGAAATGCACACATCTCATAGTGCAGTGTATTTCAGTTTTTAACCCTAATCCTTCAAGTGGCAGAGCTGTCGTTTGCATTTACAAATATTCAAAATGAGAAAAAGCATGGGTCATATGTAAAACTGATGTTTGAAGTAAATCGTAGAAGTGTTCTATCATATTTCTCTTTATAATAGAAACAAGGATGTTTAGAGCTATCCCATGTGTTATTGCTAGAATAAGCAATTTACCATCTGTAGAGAAGCGAGATGAGGGGATTTGCTGAAATTAAACATTTCATGTCAACTAACCCAGATAGCTTACACTGAGGAACCACCTGAATCATTAATGTTGTCATTAAACAATTCTTGGAAAACTGGGGAAATGCCTAAATACTGAAAAACTGCAGATGATTTTCCTATACTTCAGAAGGGCAAAAGGAGATAAACCTAGGGAATAAAACAATTAGCCTCAAATCAGCACCGAGTTCTATTTTAATTACGTTGAGCTTGAGGTGATGGCTAGATATCCCCAAGTAATGTCACGGAATGGTTAATGTAATACTCTAATTGTATGCTAATATCTAATTCCTTTTTTCTTGATGATGTTAGTGAGCACGTTTTCAGAGAAACCCACTGTCTTTTTAAAGAAGACAGCATGTCTCATTGAAGAAGGCATCTTGTTATGTTTAGACCATTTCAAGAGTAAGAGAGCAAGAAGTGATCACCAGCTGTTTTCCAGGAGAAGAGAAAGATCATGGTTTTCAGACTGGTCAGAAAAATAGATGATAAGGTGGTTTTAGTTTGTGGGAGAGGAGAATTTTTTTTCTCTGACAAGGTGCCTCATTATACGCTAGGCATTTAACACTGAAATGTGGTGCTTTGGTTTCTAAGTGATTTCTAAGTGGCTACACTGCTTTTGAAAGTGGGAGAGAGATTCAGTCTTGCAGGCATGCCACTGAGATCTCATAAATTGCCACTTATCAACTAAGCTGCAGTATCTACTGGTGCATGCTTATAGCCTCTCAAAATCTGAGGTAAGGCAAGTTAGCCTAACCCTCTGTGAATGAGGTTTACACTAAATCATATTACCTTGTATTTGTCATGGGCTAACAATTCTTAACGGGAAAATTACCCTGGCTCAGCTGGCATGTGGTAACTGCTGTCATTTCATCGTACGGCTCTCCTTGCTCTTAAGTTCCTTGTAGCTAAATTTATGGCACCTAACTTCAACCTTCCACTCTAGTCTGTGAAAAGAGCTTCGTACCTCGTAGGGCAATTGCTTCCACCTGTCTAAAATAAGTGGCATGAACTGGCTTCCTGGAGGTACCGATTGCTCTTCTTTGGCTGTAGAAGGCACCAACACGTGCTCTGAGGCCGGGTTGCTTCTACCTGTCTTTGCGTTGGAGGATTTCCTGTGTTGTTTTTAAGTGTCTGCTTACAAAGTACTGAGCAGAATTGGAATGCTTTGCTGGTGTAGGAAAAGATAATTACTTCTTACACTGACAGAAGCTGACAGCTCTGTGTTCGGAAGTGCACTCAGTCCCCGGAAGAGGCAGCGCCTTTTATTTCCCTAATTGGCTAACCACAGCGGCTGATTAAAGAGCAAGTGGCCTTCATGGTTTTTTGAAGGAAATCTCAAGCGTTGTTCTACGAGGGAAGTTAGAGATCTGCATCAGGAAAAATGGGGTGATCTGTGGGCATCAGAAAACTAATTTGGAGAAACTGTAATGGGATTAGGAAAAGGAAGGTTGACTTGCATTTCAAATGGAACTTTGCATACATATTGTAAAAGTGCTTAAGACACAAGCTTCATTAAGCTACATTTTCATTCCTCCAATAAAACAACAAATGTTCCGTTCACTCAACAATTTATGTGATTTAGAATCTATAATAAATAAAAAGAAGCAATAAACCCCAAACTTTGAGAAGGAAATTGCAGTAAGAACTAAGAGGAGTACTTCATTAAGGACAAAAGAATGAAACCAGTTAGCCCATATGTAGGGTGGGGGAGTCAAGAGGCAGTGGCTTTCTATGAAAAATCAGTTTTACTTTCTTTGTGGTCAGAAACATTCATTCTCTGGGGAAGCAATTTCATGTTTTGCTTAACAAAATGTGTATGTCCCTAGAGTGTGCTGACATTTAATAGTCTGAAAGTATCATAAACCCAAATTCACATCCTTCTACCATACAATGACTTTCTTACTTTGTGCGATCGATCTAGCTATGGTGATAACCAGTAATTTTGGATTGTACCTAGGTGAAGCATTCTTGCCTAAATTGGTTTACATATAGACTGTCAATTGTAGATAATCTGCATTAAATACACAGTGCTGTTTAAACTCATGTTGGTTACTTTAAAAAAATTTACTACAGATATTAGAAAATCTGGAACAAGGCTTAGCTGAAGATGGGAGTATGACTAACATTACACAGGAGAACAGACAAGGTAGGTACCCTTTAAACATTTTTTTCACGGGCAGTGTGTTTTTATCACTCGCCTAAGTATGCCAGAAGTTTTCACAAGACTGCCCCAGAGTTGTTAAAACAGTGTTTTTGTAATCTCATAGCCTACTCAGCCTCTGAAATGATACACCTTGTACATTTATTTGCTGGAATTAATTTCACAGTTTTGCCTTTGATCAAACTGATGCACTAAATCAATTTTTTTTCATACTTAGAAGAAACAAAGAACATGGCTGCTACCTTTTAGTGATGAATATATAAGTGTATTGCTGTTGCAGCTAGATGGATGTTTCATCTTAAGCCTTGGCTGACTGGCTTCTCTCGGTCCTCATGTCTGAAATCCACTAAATTTTTTTAGATCGAACTGCCATCATATGAAGGCTACACTTGCCTAGGATGCTGCTACATAGATGGCCAAGTCTCACTGAACCTGCATGGTACTTAGAGTCCTGAAATACCTAAGTCACTTTAGAATAACATTTAGATGATCTTAATCTACATTGTCATTTTCATGATTTTATATGCAAATACGTTTTTTTCCTGTTCCTTCTGTCTTAGTTGTTTAACTTCAATGGTATAGGATATATTACTACGTGAAGAAGGGTCATCATGACAAAGTAGTTATCCAAGCGTCTTTTTTTTTTAATTTGAATTTATACTAATGAGGTCATTTGAATACACTCAAGAATTGGACAAGAGGTGACACTTTAGGCATCGTTAAGGATTATGTGAAACACTCATGGTGCCTAGCAAGTTAAAAACGTCATACCAAGAAAACAAAAACCTTTTAGCTTCAGCTAACAGTCTGAGGAATCTTACCAACTTTTTGCTGGAGTGGCATTCACCTAGAGCCTGTGGGAAGTAAAAGTCTGCTTCTGAGATAGGAAGAGGCTGAATAGAGTTGTTAGCAGCGTTGAAAAATTATTGTAAACAATTCCCTAAAACAGTGTCTGTATGGAAGTGTGCAGACCTATCTAAATTCTTCTGAAAGGTCTTCAAATTGACTGGATGTAAAGCAGCCTTGATGTGTTACTGTACTTGGACTTAGTAACACCATCTAGATATGTCCTAAAAAAGTGCACACACATGTGAGCAGCATATATCATAAAGGCATTTGCAAATCGGTCAAATGAATACATTTACTACTCTTCTCAAAAGGGTTAGTAGAAGGAGAAATAATCTGATATTGAAGATTTATTCACAGTGCTCCAGGAGTTTGTCTCCTCTCCTCAAATCTAGTATTCTTATTGCCTCTGTTCTCCTACTTACTTTACCCTGTTATCCCAATTCTGTTGTCATTTTTGTCCTTACTATCCCCATGTTCTTTCCCTTCTTACGCCTCTAAAACCGAGACACTGATCCGTCCCCCTTTAAGGTACAAGGACTTTTTCCTGGCTGTGCCATAATCCTGCATCCTGCAGTCTGCCTCACTCAGCAACTAGTAGTTACCAAGGGACAAGACTGCTGAAAATTTGGAGAGATCTTTCTATGTCTACTGTGCAGCTGCCTGTAGGTTTAAAACTGCCAAAAAGCCCATAGGACCTTTGCAGAGACTGTTGACTTCTGTTGTCTGTGGAGGTCAGCCAGGTCTGCTCCCTGTCTGCTTCTTCACTGCATTTGGAGCTCCAGGAGGCTGATAATGGGTTTGGTTTTTTTCGTGGGAGACTAGCTGAGGCAAACCTGATTAACTTTACGTGAAGACAGCCTTAACTCATTATGGGGCTTATGCATAGCCTGTAATTTCCTTATTGCTGGTGTAAGAAGGTGCCACAGCAATCGACTTAGTCTGGAACAGAGCACCTCATTTGCCAGTGTTTCAGCAGGCAGAGATATTTAGCATTGCACCACTTGCCTGGTAACGCGTTCTATAAGATGCCAATTTTGCAACTTCTCAGAGCACAGAGCTGCTATTGAAATGAATGGCAGGGTGGAGTACAGAGTCCTTGATAAATAACAAGGAAAACCAAATGCCTGGAGTGGAAGGAGGCTGTGTGGACCTGCAGAGTGGATTTCAGGCGTGTCAGTAACATAAAATGATCTGCTGCTGAGTTTTTGAGTTTGTTTACTGCTTTGCAGGTTTTCTTTAACCCCTTTCTGCCAGTACTAAGAAGCCTCATCCCACAGGGCTACAGAATTTCCAGATCAGGTTCCTGTTCAGTTCATGGCACAGACTGAAGATACCTGGTCTGTCTGCTTTGCAGTCCGCTCTGAGAACTGTAGCTTTTGCTGTTCGATTGTTAACAGGAAATATAGATGTCTCCACTGCAGGAATCAACATGTAATTTCTTGTCACCTAAGCCCTAAAAAGCAGACTGTGGTTACCAAACTATAAGGACATGCAAAAAGGAGAGATTAACAGAAGTGAAATAATGAAGGAGAATTATTTAGTTATGTCCAGCTTTTACAGACACCTACAGGGAAGGAAAAGCAGAAATGTATCATAAAATATTTGCTCATGGTTTACAGCATCCTCTCTGTTAATAGCGGTAGGGATGGGTGGTCCAGGGGGAATTTCTAGAACAAAAGCCAGGAGTAATGAATGATTTTAAGGTATGGTGGATGAAATGGATTCAGTCTTGAGCCCCACGTTACGCCCCTCTGTTGACAAAGATAATTTGGGAATATTCATGGGTTGTTTTTTTTGTTTTGTTGTTGGAGAGGATTGAGGGAGTTTTTCTTTTTAGGAAGGGCAGTAGACGCTTCACCAAACTCTCTTCTTATTTGTAGTGGCATTTGTATGTGCTGAAAGAATTATCTATGTGACCTGCCATGCTTTCATCAGACACTACATTATTGATACAAATGAGTGGTCTCAGTTATCACAATCTCACTGAAATAGCCTCTTCTCCCTTTCTTCCCCCCCTTTCAAATCATTACATTGACCTTGACAGCTGATTGACTGAGATACATTTATTTTCCAAATGTACTAAATTAATACTCCTAATGTTTATTTTTGAGAATTAGAGGAATATTTCTAGCATTGATCTGTGGTGCTGTAACACGAGAGAAAATAAGGATCTGTGTGAGCCAGTCTCTTACAACGTCAGGAGTCTGTCTGCAAAGCAAGAGAGAGAAATCTGCTGCTGCAGCTTTTAATGCCTGCAAGCTCCAGGAGCATGGGGAAAGCAGACAGGCTTGGCAGATTTTTTTCCAGCATATCTCTAAGCCAGAGGCAAGCACAAACAGTCCCAGACTCAGACAGTTCTTGCTGTGCATGTTTTGGCTCTGAAATGACGTTTTAGCTATGTTTGATTTTTGAATTTATCACATTTAATGCGGTAGATTACATGTTTTTAAACTGATGCTCATTATCACTTGAATCTTTTTATGCACCTTTTGTTCTGACACTGGAAAATGCATGACTTCTTTTGGTGTTTGATATTTGGCCTGAGCTCAAAGCTGAGCGGCTGTCTATTGCTCTGCGTTGTTACATCGTGCATGGTACACCCAGAGCTGCTTCAGCAGTTCCCTCGGAGAGATGCAGAATTTTCTGTCTGATGGTGCAGCATGGCCAAGAATTAAAAATTCTAGGCTAAAACCCAGTGGTGTTAACGAGGGGGATTTTTCAAAATTGTAATTCATAGGACCCATAATTGATGGCAAGAAAGAACCTCTAATTTATTTGTGCAAATTCACAAGCTGCTCTTATTTTTGCAGCCTCTGTTCAGCTGTGGAGGTCACGTCTGGGCCGGGTGATGTACTCCATGGCAAACTGTCTGCTAATGATGAAGGTACGTGGGTGGCAGCAACTGCAGAGGTACCGTATATTCCAGAGTAGAATGTCAGAGAAAGTGCAAGAGAATTACTGGTGTATAGATAAGGGAAGGCTGCCTGACTGTACATGAAGGTTTTGCTTAGTGAAGAATTAATTAGACCTAATAATGTCATATTTAATAGATAACTATTTGCAGTAATGTTCTTTGGGAACATATCTGTACTTATTTCTCCCCAAATCATCCTAGAGAACATGCAATAACAATACAGAATTTGCATTTTTAAATTGAATTTTTCAAACACTTAACTAAATGCTGTAATTAAAAGCAATTATGTGCTCTGTCTTTTTCAAACTATGCACTAGGAATGTTGCTCTGTTTGTGAGGATTAATAATATTGTAGCCTTTGTATATGATGAAGATCCAGAACATCTAAATACATCCTCCCCTGTCAACCTATCTCAGTTGTAAGACATTTTCTTTCAAGTTTAAATCCTTACTAGTGGGTAGAAGCGGTAGAGAAGAGAATGAAAGCAAACATAACTAGCTTCCACTGTTGGGTTGTTTTCCCCGCCACAATTCCTCCTTACTTTTTTGACTAATCCTACTCCATTTGGTGCAACTCTTTTAGCTTCTCCTTGTATTCAGGAAGTAGAAATAAAACTGCTGTTCATCTCATGGTCAGGGAAACAGGGATATCACCATTCTTGCATCAAACTGCTGTTACCCTGAGCTGAACTGTACTTAACTGTACAAATCAATTAGCAGCAACAGCCCTGGAGCAGAGCTGTCAGCAGTATAATCTTCACAGGCCAAGATTTGGACTCCTTGCTCCCTGCTTTTTGATTGCCCAAGGTCATGCCAAACCTGACCCTCTGAAGTTTACTAAGCTACTTCCCAAACAGGGCTGCATTCTTCATGTTACAATACCTCAAAAAGCATGCATTTTCTAGATAAGGTCCAGTTAATCAAATACTGCTTTACATGAAATAGAATATCCTTTTTGTGAGAATTAGGGGAAACAGAAATTTGTATTCATGACAGTGCTGTGATCAGAACATTTCTGTCTTGAATAGAAATAATTGTCCATTAAACCATGAGGTATTTTTAAGAATTAGTAAGCATTTGTGTTTTGAAGTAGGTACTTGACATAGGTTTGTATTTTTTTAAGGAACTCTCTTTTTCAAAAAGCAAGTGGAGAAAAGCATGAGTTGCCATCCTAAACACAGTAGAATATATAAATAAGAAAATGCTGGTAATATTTTATTCAAGAAGTTCACTTCACTTTTGGCTGTGAATCTCTTAGCATTTTTCTTCTTGTGTATACACAAATCCACGTGCATGCACAGTTCTCACGTTTCTTCTGGTTTGGTCCTGTTAGTGCTATTTTTTCTAGTAATAGAAATATATTTATACCAATTACCACCTTTTTGGAAATGGCGCTTCAGAAATACTGCAGCTCAGATACTTCTTAAGACCAATTGTATTTAGGGCCTGTCTCACAGCTGTTAAGTTAGAAATCTATGATGCCACGAGAATTTCCAGATTACCCACAACTGCATGTTAATGCATAATTACTTTCATCTGAAATTTGCATTCCACTGCATTGGTGATGAAGTAGTTGTGAGTCTCAGTTTTCAGAAATATCCCTGTATGGAATAATAGAGAGCTTTTAAGAAAGATTTTTTCAAACAGTCATGTTGCGGTTAAAATCGGAGTTGTAAATGAAGTTATTTTTTCCGCTTATGTGACAGAACTTCTGTGAGAGAATTACATTGGTTATTTATAAATTTAATATTTTTAAGACCATTCTAACATGCAGCAATGCTATAATCATCTTCTCCAGCTTTTAGAGTATGCAGTATGAAACTATTTCTTCAAATAAATTTTTAAACACACTTTTGTTATTTCTCCCATGAACGATTATATTAATTGAACAGAGTTCCACTTCTTTTTTGCTGTTGTGTAATACACTTTAAAAACTGCACTTGTTTTTATTCAAGTATTTCAAGTGTATGTAATTTTAAAAAGAAAAAAAAAAAAAAAAAACCAAAACAAACCAGAAACCTGATTTCATTTTCCAAGTCAGTGCCATCTATTGCCCTCTAGTGAACATTTACAATACTGCAATATAGTCATGTTTGATCCCCAAGTACTACTGGGTGAATGGAATAGCTTGTGCTATTAGTAGATTAATAATAATAATTTATTAAAGTAAAACTATGTGACATCGGTATAAAGAAAGAAAAACTTACTATCTTGCTTTTACTGATCTCTTTTTTTTGGCCAAAAAACTTCAGTATTAAGTTCAGAAGTAAGAAGTTCAGGTCAGGGAACGTTCTTGTCAGGTTTGGCTCTTGAAAATAAAAAAAGAAAAAGGCTTTGATCAGATGTTGGGCCTCTAACTATTTAAATCTACTTCAGTTATCCTCAACTCTGATTAGGTTTATTTCATGTCATATCTCTTCTGCTTTACTTATCTGACTCAAGGAATTCTGTTTATGTAGCACAATGATTTTTGTCTTTTTTAAATATGGCCTCATTAGTTTCATAGCTAAACATCTCATTAAATTATTGTGATGGCAGGGTATATTGTTTTGGAGATAGTGAGTGAGGTGCAGAGAAGTGATTCCCCCATACTCTACCTATAGTGGAACAGGAAATGAGTCACAAGTCTTCTTTACCCTGAGACCATCTTTCCTAGGTACTAAATTCTGCCTGCTGTGTCCCTTTATCGGTGTGACCGACAATACAGTTTGCTAGCGGTTTAAGGCAGTCTTAAATGTATTCTGGCTTCCTTCCATGAGCCACTATTGGACTAAACCAAATGACAATAAACAAAGAATGGTGGATGTCAGTCACATCAACTGAATCTGCCTTTCCCATTTCATGTGAACAAGGGGCAGCTTACAGGAGGAGGTGGAAAAGCAGCAGGAAGGGAAAGGAAGACTCCATAACATGTGTCGCTGTAGACTTGCATTTACAAGAACCATGACCTTAAGTCACTGTGAGAGCGTACCCTGAATGTAGCAGCATGGTGGAATATACATTTAAAATGCCACTGATGATGCACATTGCTTCATTTCAACTACCTAACTGCAAAATGTCTTTCATTTTACTAAATCACCATGGAAGTGTCTTGAAAACTTTTTAAGTTCTTTTCATCTGAGCTAAAACAGCTTTTTACATACCTTACCAGACTTTTACCTCTCCGACAAATAAACACTTAAGTACTTTCCATATATATGGATCCATAACCCAAAGGTCAATGGATCAAAACCATCCTCTGCTACCAAAACCTTGCCACCACAAACCCCTTACCATATTATAAATGTATTCTAATTAAAGGCACATTTTGCACTTTTTAGACTTTTTTTTTTTCAGTGTTGTCTTAGCTTTTGTAGAACTTGCCCTTCATAAAAACAAAAACATTAGAATTTATTTTAGTTTATGTCTAATACAATTAAAACTATACAAAAGAGCAGGTAACAGCTTGTACTAATGATGCAAGGGACTGATGCCTAAGGACTTTGGTTCCTCTATGATTTAAAGGAGAAAGACTGGATCAATCATTGTGTCTTTTCCCTAACTGTGCTGCAGTACTGCTCTTTGGATTCATAACACTGTGAATCTGTGCTTCCATAACCCTTCCACAAATGCACTAGATAGAGAGGAAGGTAAGTTATCCCTGTCTTTTCTTCCCAAAATACAGTATTTATGAACTATACACTTTGTATAACTAAAGCTAGGGGTTAGTCTCTGGTTTATTGAACCTACTCTCAGCATCCTACACATCATGGTCGTTTATGCTTATTTCTAAATATCTCATAATTAGTATTAGAAATACTTAAGGTGGTGGTGAGGGAAACATGAAAAAGTATAACGCAGTGACTATGAAAGGAAATACAGTTATGCTGCAGTGCATCAAAGGAAAAACAAACCCCGCTTGCCATTTTTGTGTGGGTAGAGCCAATAGCTTACTAGAACTGCTTTGGATGAGTGTATTTCATGTTAGCTGCAAACTCTCATAATAAGAGAGATATTGAATTATAAAACAGTAGTCCAACTCTTACTCATATCCTAAATTGTGTAACTTCAGTCCTTCTTTTGGAATTTTTTATGAAGGTGTGGAAAATCCGAAGGCTTGCAATCTTTAGAAATTAAAGACCATGACAGTGCATCAGCCCCACCTTTAAGTCTTAAGATCACAATCTGTAGTCATTGGGGTGTTTTACTGACAGTACCTAATATGTCTTACTCCTCACAGCCACAGCTTTTATCAGCCAAGACTTGGCTCCTCTGGGAGGGTGTCTATTTATCATTCTCACAGGCAATTTTTCTTATACCATGTCACATTAGCAAAGCTAGGAATGAAAACAAAGTCTTCAGTAAATGAGAGCAAATCTCATCTGCTTTACAATATGCTCCTTTAGAAGGAGCTGTCAAATAAGATGCTTTTATAACTTACCATGGAACAGTATCATTCTGTGTCACATGTAGGATACTCTAGAAATATACTGCTTCTATGATGGTATGGGGGGAAGAGTAAACGCATATAAAGCTCCCTGTGAGATCCTGAATTAACTGCAAAATGAGGATGTATTTAGAAGCGAGCCTGGATATTGTGATAACGTTTTAGAGTTTCATCCTGGGGCTATCCGTGCCTATGCTTAGGGGTGGCTTTGGACATATAACTTAGTCTCTTGTCATCTCCTGGAAGAAATGGGTCCCATTCCTGTGATAGGTACTGCAAGGCATAGGGTAGATAAGCACAGATGGTATGTGCTGTGTGGTCATATGGAAACGGTGCTATATCCACGAATACAGTGCATAGACTCCCAGTGCTTCACCTCTGCTCTCACATTTTAGGAGGTGTGAATGTTTGCACATCTTAGTTATAATGCATAGGGTGATGTACAGCCGCTTGATAGGGAATGCAAAAGGCGGGGGAGGGTTTGTTTGCCTGACTAGGCCAAGTCCATGAAGCTCCCACAGAACGGGTCTCCCAAGACATGACTTGGCTGCTTGTTCCTGCCGAGGCTGGCTACTACCTACACTAGGGAGCCTGTGGTGTCATAATTGTGCAAACAGTGCCCCCTCGTGCAGCTTCTTCTGGCCAAGACTTTTCTGCAGTCAAATCGTGCTAAGCTGTAAACTAAGCTGACAGAAGCACTTTTCTATCAGCTTAACAGCATGATCTCCTGGGAGTTGCTTCTACATCGGTTTGGGGATGTGCCTGTAAAGCCCCCATCCCTCCTGGTTGTGCTAACTGTCTTTGTCATGTAGCCTAAGCCTTAGAGTGTGCACGAGACCGAGCGCTGGGTAAGGGGCAGCTTTAGACCACGGAATGGAAGACATTGAACACAAAAGCTAGAATTTGATATAATAAAATTATTTCTCCACAGAGCACATTTTATGCTTAAAGAGATAAAATTCACGGTCATGGACAATCCTTCAGTTTTTATAAGTTAGGCTCTTGCAGGTATTAATAGCTAATATAAGTGTGGCTGGGGTTCCTCTGAGGAGCCAGTTCAGAGGGTTCTTATTTCAGGTTTTTTTGTGCCTACCTAACACAGTGGGACTCCATGATCAGTGAAGGCCTTTAGTGAAAGCTGTTGCAGTGAAAATTGAGTTTTTCCTAAGTCATAAATTTCTGAAAAAATTTGGTGGCATAAATTCATTGTTTGAGTTCTGAGTGCTAAATAAATCAGAATTTAAATAAATACAGTGTTGTGTATATGGCCTATTGTCTTTGACCTCTTTCCATTACCAATAATAAGCATGGACATAGCATGGCACACTAGAATTGGAATAAACTCTAAATGTTAGTAATTGACTGTTCAGAATTAATCATTATACCCACAACATACAAGTTGTTTGCAAAAGAAAGGTCCTGCAGCGTGCCCCCTTAAGGCACTCTGTGTAAGTCAGCCTTTACCATTATAGAACATGTCATTTCTCTTATATACAGATCAGACTCTGAAGACTTCTGTTGATTTTTTTGTGTATGAAACAATTAGTATGTTCCAAATGGTGATCTGGTGCATGGGTCAAGTAGAATCACAGAATAGTTTGGGCTAGAAGGGACCTTTAAAGGCCATCTAGTCCAACCCCCCTGCAGTGAACAGGGACACCTTTAACCGGAGCAGGTTGCTCAGAGCCCCGTCCAACCTGACCTTGAATGTTTCCAGGGATGGGGCTTCCACCACTTCTCTGGGCAGCCTGTTCCAGTGTTTAACCTCCCTCATTGTAAAAAATTCCTTCTTTATATCTAGTCTAAATCTACCCTCTTTCAGTTTAAAACTATTGCTCCTTGTCCTATCACAACAGGCCCTACTAAAAAGATTGCCCCCCATCTTTCCTGCAGGCCCCCTTTAAGTACTGGAAGGCCGCTATAAGGTCTCCCCAGAGCCTTCCCCTCTCCAGGCTGAACAACCCCAACTCTCTCAGCCTGTCCTCACAGGGGAGGTGCTCCAGCCCCCTGATCATCTTTGTGGCCCTCTTCTGGACCTGCTCCAACAGGTCCATGTCTGTCTTGTACTGAGGACACCAGAGCTGGATGCGGGGTTCAGTCCTTTTAAATGAGACGTCAGGAAAAGAAATTCATTACACCTGGGGCGCACTGCCTCCTCAGACTATGCAGGAGATGAAGAACAACTACCTTTACCGGTAGCTGTGATCACATTAGGGACAAGTTAAATGAGGACTATAGTTTGACAAAAATAACGGTAGGGTAGAGAGTATCCCAAGATGTCTGTGCAGTTTTGAAAGATTATTCTTTGATGTCTTTTGCTTCCTAACACCCGCCACAAATTCTTGTCTTCAAGTTGAAGGGCAGGACTGTCAGGAAGCACCAAATTCCTATAGCACAGAGTCTTCTGGTTTTGCATATGCCTGGCTTTTATAAGCAAAGGCAGGCTTTGTCTGCCTCTGCTCAGGATTTCTCCAAGGAGCTATAGCTGAGGCTGCTGCAACCCTCTACCCCATGAATGTACCTACTGTGTGTCTTCCAGTCAGTGCAGAGCACATGCAGAGTTTGTCATGTATGCCTGCCAAAGACCACGTGGTCAGGCTCTAAAAGTCATTTACTGCCCAGCTCGTTGAATTGCTGCTGCTTAACCATGAAACAGCTGGACTGCAGTAACCAGTCACATGAGCATTTCTTTCCTGTGGGAATGAGATCATGATTTTGTTTAATCTTCTGTCACTGGTCGCTCTCTGGAGGGTACGGTTGCACTGCATGTTGAGCGGGCAGATCTCAGAGCTGCCACTTGCCAGCACAGTCTTTGTGCAGGTGTTGGGAGGGTGTCACTTGCAAAGCTTTCTGCAGTTCAGAACCAGCCCACCCCTCACTTAGTTTTAGCCCAAATCAGTTTTCTATTTAGATTACCTGCTTATTTCCCTTTTACATGGTATTGTAGAATGGAACAAGGGTTTGGGCAGAAGGATAGAAAAGGTCCTGTTTACCTTGGCAGTAGTGCTAGTGTATCATCTGAAAACGTGCATGAATTGCGGTTTCTGCCACATTATATTTTTCACAAGTTAAGAGCATATGCACAAGCAGTTCCCAAAGCTTCAGAACATAGTTTGTTAAACCATGTAAATTACACATATATTTGAAACATGAGACACTTCTCAAGTATGTATACCCGAGTCGCACAGAAGGCTTTTGGCTTTCATCCTAAATCATAATCTAAGCTGAAGAGTAAATGTTCAGATTTTTTTGTTCTTGGCATTTAGCTACAAACAGAAAATGATCCAGTTGGGAGGAAAAAAAAAAAGGAAGATCCCCTGTGAATGCAGTTCCAGTGTAACTGAGAAAAGACCAATATAGTCAGCTACTAGTGCCTGAAGTGATAGGTAGAAATTCTGTCCCACTGACAAGTTGCAATTACTTTAACTAAGTTTGAATATGTCTTTAAAAAGAGGGTGACATAAAGGCTGAAGAATGCTGAGCTTAAATACCTGGTCGTGTGCTTTTCACTCCTTAGGACTACGTGCTTGCTGTAGACGCTTACCACACCGTCATCAAGTATTACCCACAGCAAGAGCCTCAGCTGTTGAGTGGCATTGGAAGGATTTTCCTTCAGGTATGCGTTTTACCCCAAATCTGCTAGGTCATATTGCTGTTAACAGCTATGTAGTGAGTAATTGTTGCATTCTAAATTACAGCTATTTCAAATTATAAGCAGTGGTCAAAACAAAAAAAAACTTCTACCACGTGATATTAGATAAAGTTAGGAAATACAAAGCACCTATAGTATTAAAAGTACGTGCATGTACATTAGCAAACAAAGAACATGCTGTAGAAAATTATGCTAATAATTTATTCAAAGAGCAACATTCTGCTTTCCCTAAAACCAATGGAAAAGCTCCCATTGACTTCAGTGAGCTGGAATTTCACGAAAAATCTCACTTCTCACTGCCTCAAACTGCATGCTGCTCTCACTCACTGTCCAACTGCTGTCTTCATCTGGAAAAAATTTGAGGGTTTCCTTCTGTTGTTCAGGTTATATTATATCCCTGAGAAGACAGGGGAGGACACATTAAAAGAAAAAAACAGGACTCCACAAGTATAATAAATTTCTATGTAGCTATGTGCTTACTTTAATAAATAAAAAAAGATGTAAATACAGTTGTACTTTTTTGTTTATCAGAAAATGTTTCTTCTAAATAATTAGTATCGTTGTTTTAATTTTTAGTCTCTCACAAGTTATTTGCAGTTCCGATACTGATATTTCAAACTTTTCCTTTTTATCTACTTCATTTTATTATTTAATATAAATCTAATTTTGAGTTGTCGAATACTTACAAACAATCCTATTTGTAGCATTCATGTTATAAAATTATATTTAAATGGAATAATTTACTGTTGATAGATAATTAAATCATTAATGTTGTTTGCTTGAAATCATAGAATGCCATTTAAACTTAGTTATGGATTGTCAGTT